GGGGGGGGGGGGGGGGGGCAAAATTTTTCATTCGCACAAGAATTTTAGACGCAAATTTTAATTTTTATATAGGAATTGTTTTTATGTAGAAAAATTGTTAGAACAGATTGCACGTTAAAAATATCTCGTTAAAGTACAAAAAATAAAATTGCGAATCGAATTATTTAAAGATCCTAATTGTTAAGAAAAACAGATTTTGTACTAAGAATATTGAAGGACAATTAAAACTGCGTCATTAATTTTAGATGCATAAATCAATGCAATCTATCTATAAATATATGCAACAAAGTTATCTATGTGGTGTTATTTATAAATAGCTGTTCTCTATGTTCTTTGGAGTAATTCTGAAGAATGATAAAATTAAGCCAATTGTGAAAAAAAGTGGTTCAGTTTTCAATCTTTGAGATTAAGATTTCTTATTCATCTTGAGATTCACTCTTAAAAGTTTTAGAGACAGTATTGTTTTATGTTCCAATGATGCAGTATTGAAATAATTGATATATCACTTTACTTTTTGTTAAGAATCTTATAAAACAACATACATAGATAATTACTCAAATAGTAAGCAATTTGACCAATTACAGTTATAAATTATTGAAAATGTACTTCTATCATTTAAAAATTTGTAGCTATGATTAGGCAATTTTTAACTTATTGTTTAATGTCAATTTCTACTAATATAGATTAATTCTAATTTCCACTTTACTACCTTATGTTTTTTTCTAATAATTTCAAAAAATAGAAAAAAATAAAGAAGTACGTTTAACAATCAAAGTTAAAATTAGATTATATTATGGTAGAAATTATAATAATAGTTTTGTTATAGTTTTAGTTTTATTATATATTTTTCTACATGGAATTGACTTGAGATGGATTACTTACTTTGTTGTATTAAGAACAATTATTATAAATTACATATGATTAAATATATATTGATTATCTTTTATTTTTTATTTTCTCTTATTTCATTTATATTCTCATAATATAAAAGTTAGAAAGAAGACCTAATCACAACTAAAGGTAAAATAATTGTTGCAAAAAATTCTAAAATCAGACTTTGCCGATTATAGTTTTAATGAAACTTGGAATCATTTTGTTACAGATAGGAAAAGAGGATGAATTGCCAAAAAATATCTGTCAGAGATGCGTCTACAAGTTAGAGATGTTTTATGAATTTCGTCTTAGCTGCATGTCCACACAATCAATATTGAAGAATTATGCAGACTCCTTGAAGAATATTGTTACGCATAATAATCAGGTAAGTAAAATTTTCTTCTACATATAAAGATTGTATTAAATTATGTGAATTTTTTAATTATAGCAAATATATAGTATATTATTTCAAATATATTACAATACCGTAACTTGTAACAAGATTGCGTGTTCCAATTTTGATTATTCGAATTTTGTGTTATGTATTTTTTATCTTTGTAATATCCAATAATATGACATTTGTAATATTGCAAGAATAATGACATTTAGTGTCCATGTTGTTGGATATACAGGTGACTGCGGACAGCAAAATTAGTAAGACAATCATGAGATTTGCTTTTCCATAGAATGAGCAAGGCAAAGTACAAAATATTTATTTAAAAGGAAAAGAAACTTAATAAGGATTGTCAAAATTCAAAAATATTAGAAAAAATAGGGCAAATCAGTATATGGCGTGATACTTGGTTGCAAAATTCAACATACAATTTTAATAAAAATTTTATATTTAAATAAACTTATTATATTTATATTTAAATTATATTTAAATAA